TGGGAACATTATTGGTGGGTGGCAGGAGTGATAACAGCTGATAAGATACTATAAGGATCTTTAGAAGGGGAGGGGTCACCAACATCATAACGAGCGTCACAGCGACGGCAGAACGTCGTTCCCAAGAAGTAAGGTAGGGGGCAGGATAGGAACATTATTGATAGGGTGGCAGGACGTAACAGCTGATAAGATACCATAAGGATCTTTAGAAGGGGAGGGTCACCAACATCACAACGTGCTCACAGCGACGGCAGAACGTCGTTTTCAAATATTTACTAAGACAGGGGGCAGGATGGGAGCATTATTGATGGGTGGCAGGACATGATAACAGCTGATAAGATACGATAGGGTGCCACTTCAGAAAGGAAGCCCCCAAAATTCAAGACGTAACAACACTGGGGAACTGTTTCCAGCAGGTAATTTAGAGGTGATTAGGTAACATGGTTGGGGGGGGGAGGGGAGATGAGTTGTGATATAGTTTTAAGTCAGTATAGTGTACAGTATAGTATATATAGTATATAGTCAGTCTTCTTTACTCTGCTTGCAACTGAACTGACCACTGCGGCCCAAGAATCAATGGGTAATGGCTTAGTCGGGTGCCAAGATGTTTTATCCTTTAGCAATATAATCGGGATTGATTGGACCGCTAAACTCTCGAGTTTCGACAAAAAGTAAAAGCCTAAAGATGTTTGCCAGTGAGAAATGATAAGAGCCATCAACAGACGGATATGAAAGCCGCTCAGCGGAAGTACTAGGATGAAGGACATTTCAGTATGATCTCTGTTACCATCGTAACTCCTCCAACCGCTAAGCTTTCCTACTTCTAGCGGGATGGTGAGTGTTTTAAAAGCAAGATAAGCACCAGATTGGCCAATGTTCATGAAAGAGGTGAAATAAGATGAAATGGGCTGTACTTGAAAACACAGGAATCAGGCCAAGTGTTAGGGAGCACAGGAATACTGTCAGTGATCAGTACCATAGATTTAACCATGCGCGCAGTAGTGCGCGTCAGCCAAACTGGTAACGTATTAATTTAAAAAAAGTCGTAGTTGGGTCCTAGAGCATTACAGACGGCGCGAAAAAGTGAATAATGGTCTCAAGTGGTCCACGTTAAGAAGTTCACCGTTGTGGGCGGAGCGTGCCCGGGATGGGCGGAGCGTGCACCGTGGTGGGCGGAGCCTGATTTAAAAATTCGCAAGACGGCTCCAGAGCACTGCAGACACCGGGAAAAAGTGGATTAATGTCAATGGGTCACCGGTTGAGAAGTGCGAGGCACATCCGTTGTGGGTGGAGCGTGCATGGGTGGGCGGAGCCAGGATAAAAAAATCCGTAAAACGCTTCCAGATCACTCCAGACACCGGGAAAAATGTCAATGATGGGTCACCGATTGAGAAGTGTGTGGTATATCTGTTGTGGGTGGAGCGTGAGGACAGTCGGGTAGAGCCAAACGAAAATGACTAAAACGAAACGTTCCTAGAGCAGTCCAGACACCAAAAAGCGGTGAGCAGAGGTGTGCAAGTCTTCGGCCATTGAAGTGAGATAGACACGCCCATTGTGGGCGAAGCAGGTGTCGAAGGGGCAAAAGTCAAAAATTCACGAGTTGCTTGCAGAGCAGCATATGCACCAGGAACATGTGGACTGAAGGACACAAGGGTTCAGTGGATGAAATGGGGCAGACATCCAAATGGGCGGGAGATGGGCGGTGCTTGCTACGAAACTTTATATTTCGGACCTGAGTGACTTTAGGGATCACAAAAAGTCGTTGGAGAAAAGAAACATACAGCGAAGGTTGAGTGTGTCTGTGGTGTATAGAGACCCGTCCACAGTGGGCTGTGCGTGCCTTCAAGCACGAGCTGCCTACTTTTACTGAGCTTCAGTGCATCGGCAGCCATGCACTTAACCACCGGTCGTCGTAAATGCATTCGATACCAGTCGGCTCGCCGGCTGACGCCGGCGCGCCTCCTCTGTGATACGGCCCGGCCTTGCCGGGCGGGCGTGGCTTCGTCTACCCTACCTGCTTTCGTACGTTTAAATGCACGACTGATACCCGGCTTTCTGTCATCTCTGCACTTCATCAATGCTCCTTACCATAATGTCATGCACAGTAATAGTGTTGAAAATAGCAGGTATGATGTTATTGGTCAAGGAGCGTTGGTTATCTGTTCAGATAAAAGAAAGCAGCATTTCAGTTTGGTATATAAACATGTGGAAGAAGGTAAGCGCGGCGAAGCCGCGCCCGCCCGGCGAAGCCGGGCCGTATCACTGAAGGAGGCATGCCGGCGTCAGCCCGCGAGACGTCTGGTGCTGCTGAAACTGGCTGCGAAGTCAACGCAAGTGGATCTGGAATCAGCCTGCGAGCATTGGGTGATGCGTTTATCCTGGCGATCATACGTCATGTAGAATCTAACGGTCTCCGAAGCGTTGACTAAGTCTTGATGTTGCAAACACGATCGAGAATCGATGACACTGTGCGTTCTGAAAGTTTTAGAGTACTCAGAAATGGCGCACTCCCATGACGATACTTTTCATGCTCATGGCAACTTTTTGTTCTGTGGTCAGTATACTTCTGAATCGCAGCAAAGAACAAAATTCCGATTTGGTACTCAGAAGTAACGTCGTAACACTCTTGAAACTCTAAAAAGGTGAACAACATGGTAGCTCTATAGATAATATTAGTCGTTGACTCAAAAAGCCAGCCGGCACCGTGTCCGAAGATAAGCTGCAGTTCATTGGCAACAATGATGGGTATAATATACCAAAATTTGCAAGCAACTGGTTGCGTGGGAAAAAAGCTATGCGCGAGATATTGTTTGGTCGGTCAGGGTTGGAAAGGAAATCGGAACCGGTGTCGAAAGCAACACTTCCAGCATTTTTGGTCCAGAGATTGAAATGCTACCGAATCTGCTCGAAACATTTACGCAGTACTCGCATGGAATGCTGCGGTTGCGAGGGTGTTGCGTTGATTTGGCAACTCCAAGAATGTATTAGGTTGTCCGGAAAGGAATGCGCGTTCGAGCTTAAAAAATTTTTATTATAAAAACGAAATTAAACAAGATAAATTCAAAAGACAATCTCCATTAGTATCAATGACTTGTTGTCAACATTTATGCAAAAAATGGATTCCTCTTCTGAAGAACTCGACCGGCTCAAAGAAGTTGGACACCCAGAGTTGGACCTTTTTCGCGGTTTGTGAATTTTCTCTCGGCCAGGGAGTTCTGCATCGACCGGAACAGATGGTAATCGATGGTGCCAGGTCTGATCTGTGTGGCGGATGAGGCAGGACTTTCCAGCCCAATTCCTCAATTTTTTCTAGAGTGATTTTCGCCACATGTGGATGAGCGTTGTCGTGGATAAATTTTGTCGACGTCGTTTCGACACTTTGAAGACGCAGTGCTGGATCCATGCGGTTCAATTGGTGTTTGCAGATGTCCGCCGTAACCGTCTGACCCGATTCCGGAACTTCAAAGTACATCAAACCTTTGCTATTCCACCAAACACGGAGCATCACCTTTTTGCCGCGTATATCAGGTTTCGGAGTCCGTTTTGGAGGGTCACTGGAGTCTAACCACTGTCCTTTTCTCGTTGCGTTATCGAAGCAGACCCTTTTCGATGTAATAATAGAGTCGAAAAAACCGCTGTTCTTGGAGCGACGAAGAAGAATTCCGGCCATTGCCACTCGTGTTGCCTTGTTTGCGTCGCTCAGCTGGTGCGGCACCCGCTCTTCCCAACTTTTTTCCCCAAAAAAAGCAAAGTAGACATGGACAAAAATATATCAAAAGAAGCACAATAAAAATCTCTTTCTAATAGACAAAACTGTCTCCAAAAATCTTCTATAGTAGGAGAGAAAAAAATGGACAAGTTCAAAAAATTCAACGCGCATTCCTTTCCGGACAACCTAATACATACCCCAGTCTGACCAACCTTGCTGTTACTGTGAGGGTCTCGTAGGCAGAGAAATGCGTGAATGAACGGGATAGTCGGCAAACCGCTTTTGTAATAGGGCTTACAGACTTACCAAGACAATTTATCTGAAAATACTTGATAGGCAAGGCCGGATTATATTGCCTAAAAACACGGCCTCTAATGCAACGATTTGAGTCACCTCTTTCTCAAAGTAGCTTCTTCACTGAAATGAGTTCAGTTAACATAGAAAATTCCATTTGCGTGCGAGCGTGAGGCCACATTTTCAAGTGCCTCAATTCTTGAAACGATGAGATGAACTAGCGCGAAAGCTCAGCAGTAATCGTAAAGTAGACTATCCTTTCTGCTTTTACTGGCAAAAATTTCCTAGGTAGGGTCCGTTGGAAGAGAGTTTGTCGCAAATTAGTCGCGGAAATCGAATTAGTCGTCGAATTAATTCTCACCTGAGAAAGTGTATGTCTTCCCTCCCAGTTTCTTTTTTCAGAGACTGGGAATGGTCCTGGAAGACGTCCTGGACTATAATCAGTATAAACACTTGAAGTACTCGGTGCTGGTCAATCCCGCCATCAGCTCTGCCTTCTTTCAGAGTCGGAGCACCATTTGAAGGTATTTATTTGCAAAATGGTGCAGAGAAAGTAATGTTGTAATGTTTCCCATGTTGTGCTAGAAAAATCAATAGCTTTGAGCTACTGCATTCTTCAGTCCATGCGAAATCGAAGATGTGTTTCATTTCCCCCCGATCATATTCTCAGAGACAACAAATCAAAGACATCACAGTACATGGCGAAGTACAAAATGATTTTTATTAGAAAAGATGTGTTCCGCAATACTTTTTCACAAAGGCGGCAGGTCGTTCCCAGCGCGAATCGCATTTACACCCCTTCCCAGAAACGTTAACACCCCTTCGTTAAGTAGTGGCCACTGCACTCATAACCCCTCTCGCTCCCAGCGAGTTAAATACGACCCCATCGGGATTCCATAACAAATGCCTAACTCTCCGCCTCATCCTTTTCCTTATTTCGTGACCACTCTTTTGCTTGTAATGATACAGCGAATACCAAGTTCTCTACAGATTGTTGTTAACGAACCTGCAAATCTGTGCGAAGCTTCAGTGCTGTCTCATTTGCCTTTTTCAAATCAGCCACAACTTCCTTATTTAGTTGCTTCTCGCCTGAAAAAGTAACCTAATGCTGAAGATACGGTCAACTAGCTCCAGTAGTGTTGCCTACCAAATAGTTCTCGCTCAAGTCCTTCTGAAGCTAATCGAGCGCAACTTAGTTCGTTCACTGCACTGATATGGGATTGCTCCGAGTCAAATATGCGACGTCTTAATTCAGCGACGCAATCCTCGGCTTGAGCAGCTCGTTTGCGATGAAATTCTAGCTGGGCTTCCAGGCCTTCATGTGAAAGGCGTTCTTCTTCTATTTTGCTTTTTAGAATTTCACAGCTGAAAAGAAAAAGGCTACAGGCAAAAAAGGCATAAAATTGAGAAACTGAAAAAAGAACTGAGAATCCATTCTGAGAATATTCAGCTTTTGCACTGGATACCTTCGAACCCTTTTCACTGCGTATTTTGGAGAAAATCGGTATTAAGGTGTCGTGCAGCATCTCCAGGAAATACGGTTCAAAGTCCAAGGACTCTAGTCACGGTCCAAGACCCTAGTGGGCTTTCCTCGCTCAGGAACATTATGTTCCTTACATCGTTAGAATAAAGCTGTTCAAAGGAATTCTGTAATTCGTGGCTTCTCTCATTTTTTTTCGAAAGATCCAGTCAAAAAATACTCTGATGGCCGCTTCGAAATCGCTTCTACCATTAATCGACATTCAGCGCCATTGCTGGGAGTTTTCCGAGAGAAATGGGGGAAGGGTCATATTCGAGCGCTGAATGGGGGAGTTTTAGTCAGCATTCAACGGCGCAGTGGTGCCGTCATCCCTACTTTGTCGCAAAGCAGGACTCGTGTGGTGGAGTACCCGGAGCACAGGGTATCGAGGCACAACATGCGTTGGGAATCTGGTCGAGTTCGTATGATTCCCTCTCCCCCCCCTCCCCTAGAAAGTAGCTCGCTACTTCCCTCCCCATTGTAAGGTATGCTATGCTTTGGCTTTTTTGTTTGCGTATATTTCGAAAATATGTAGAAGAAAACTATTATAGAGCTAAGTTTAGAATTTTCTCCGGCTCACTGGCACCTTCCACAACTGAACCTCATTCGAACAAATAAACTGTTTACGAATGAAACTCAAAACACTTCGTAGTTTTCCTGATAGGATTAAAGCGAAACTTCTCTCTTCATTTACAGGAAGAGTTCAGCTCAGTTGAAAAAGTGTAATGGTTCTACTACGTTAGTTTCTTTACGTTCCATGGAAAAGCATGCGGCCCAGACATCAAACAAATGGAAATGACAAGATTCATGACGATTATTCTATTTCCTACCAATGCTGTGTAAACAAAGCTACTTCCTCAGCACTTTTAGGACACTCTTTTGGGTACCACCGTCGAGAGGGAGACAGTGGATTAACAGTGCACGGAATGTCGCGCTCCTGCTACATACAACTCCATGCAGCATTGAATGAAATAGATGCTGGTGCATATGTAACGCTTATGACCCATTTTCACACTTTGCGGCACCTGCCGCGGTTTAGATGAATTTACTAACGCCCTACGAGCACTATTCCCTGAACAGCGCTGGGCTGTGGCGAAAAAAGGGACTGTTTTCAGACCCAAGTGCAGGAATACCATCCACGACGTGAGTTTCGTTGGATTCACAAAGGTCAGGACATCAGCTTCAGCTTCAAATCGGGAATTTGATACTGGCACTACGATAGGATTACACCGGACTTTCGTCGATTTGTTTGTACTGCAGCCATGTTGTTTTTTTCCACTGTTTAGCTTTGTGGGATATCGTTCACCATATCGAATTTCCGACGTGGATACACGTAGTTCGAGCACCCAGAGTACACATTTACCACTTCAACAATCTTTGGACAAATATTGTTGGTTCCCTGAGCTTTATTTCCATATCTTGTTTAGGAATGGGATGAAGAATCCACTGTTCAAAAAACTTTATTGATTATGGTTTGGGCATAAGCTTCCCCAGAACAACCAAAATTGTATATCACATACCCATATATATAATTCGCTTTGTCTGTTTGTTTGTTTGTTTGTAAGTTTGTAAGTTTGTCTGTCCGGAAATTCGGTTCGACCTGAAGAACGACTTGGAGAGGTCGGGTCAAGGTGGGGATGGGTAGGGCATGGGTACCCAATTTTCTTATAGAAGCACGAACGCAGTACCGATTCTATACCTCTAGCAGTAATGTTCTCAGCATGAGATGTCACTCACAACTGTGAAAACGCACCCCGGCCCTTAGATGAAATATGGGTGGTCTCGGACCTCGAGTCGAAACTCACAATCGTCAATTTTGTATGAATGCAGATGAGAAGCCGCCCGAGTTCTACCATGAAGAGTTACGTGGGCGCAAGTGGATGATCATCATAGCAAAGGATTCCCACACTGTGGCTTTCAAGCGGCTCTATACAGAGACAAATCCGTCACTGTCGGTGCATATTGCCTGTTCCTCGGCATTCAGATCGACAAATGGATGCTACCACACAACTACAAGAAGGCCACCGTTGCTCGTCATAGTGCCAGACCCCGAGTAACTGTATTGTAGATCAGTGCTGGGACACAAACAATACTGAGACCTGAGGTTCAATCGCCCCATTCGCCCGTCATAAAGCCATGCGATTACAACTGTTCTATTCAGTAGAGAGTACTCTCCGACGGCAGACGCTACAATGTTTTGTCATTTGCCGAAATTGGCAACAACAGCAATTTACCCACACTTGTTGAAAAATCGAAGGTACCAGAGGTCCAAAGGCCCTCGGGGCACTGGGAGCGGGTCATTGGTGAAGGAGGGATTTACTCATCCTAAAGCTAAAATATCACTTTTCTATCTATTCTCCTCTTTGTTTTATTCAAAAAAACCAGCGGCCACTTTGAATGGGATGACCTAATAGCTGTAAACCATGCAGTTGTGTCATTGGGAGTATTTTAGCCGAGAGACAAACGAAAGTGATTTTCCTCAGGAAAAAAGGTAATCTTTGGATATAGAACTGAAGCGCCACATGCAGGGTAACTTTCGTTGTTGAAGATGTTGTTGTTGTTGTTGAAGCGGTAAACGTGTACTCTAGGTGCTCGAACTACGTGTATCCACGTCGGAAAATCGATATGGTGAACGATATCCCACAAAGCTAAACAGTGGAAAAAAACAACATGGCTGCAGTACAAACAAATCGACGAAAGTCCGGTGTAATCCTATCGTAGTGCCAGTATCAAATTCCCGATTTGAAGCTAAAGCTGATGTTCCTGACCTTTGTGAATCCAACGAAATCCACGTCGTGGATGGTATTCCTGCACTTGGGTCTGAAATAGTCCCTTTTTTCGCCACAGCCCAGCGCTGTTCAGGGAATAGTGCTCGTAGGGCGTTAGTAAATTCATCTAAACCGCGGCAGGTGCCGCAAAGTGTGAAAATGGGTCATAAGCGTTACATATGCACCAGCATCTATTTCATTCAATGCTGCATGGAGTTGTATGTAGCAGGAGCGCGACATTCCGTGCACTGTTAATCCACTCTCTCCCTCTCGACGGTGGTACCCAAAAGAGTGTCCTAAAAGTGCTGAGGAAGTAGCTTTGTTTACACAGCATTGGTAGGAAATAGAATAATCGTCATGAATCTTGTCATTTCCATTTGTTTGATGTCTGGGCCGCATGCTTTTCCATGGAACGTAAAGAAACTAACGTAGTAGAACACTACACTTTTTAACTGAGCTGAACTCTTCCTGTGAATGAAGAGAGAAGTTTCGCTTTAATCCTATCAGGAAAACAATTTGGGAAACAGCAAAAGCAGAAGTTATGAAACAAGATTTGAGAATCTATGTCCGCGCTGACAAGTGGGCGTGGCCGTCGGGGCGGGGCTCGCAGTGATGTCTGGCGTGATCTGGTTGATGAGTTGCCCGCCCTAATAAGTGTGGTTAATTTGATGAAAAGTGAGGGTGAATTTGGTTTGAAAAGGGTGAATTTGGTTTGAAAAAGGGTGAATTTAAAGTGAAAATGGTGCATATAAATCCTGGATACCTGATACCATCTTTTCCCGCGTTCCAAACGCTACTAACGCCGTACGCTAGGAAAACAACATATGGAATCGACACATGGACCAGTTCCGATCAAGGATGTGAACGCCTTTACGGAAGTGTTCGATCCATTTGACTCCATGAGCAAGAACGATGGTGCAACGCCGACGATGCCTGCCGAGCCCACTCAGCGATCGCAACATGCCCGACGACACCAACGCCGACTCCAGCGATACCCTCGGACGATGCGATACTGCCCGATCGTATTGCTATCTCTTGTATAAAGATTATCCCCCGCAATGTACGTGATATTCGAAATGACTATCTTTGTGTTTGTTGCCAACTGATTTGATTCTACCGAAACATATCATATTGGATCGGCTAGTGAGTAAGGGCGTTTTTCCAATACTTAATTTTGCGTGGAAAAAAAGGTGAACTTTTACTAAAGCACTCTACTTTGTTTGATAGGAATTTTCCGGCTCTACGAAGGCCTCTGCCTGCTTTTTTTTAATTCTTGATCACTGACAGTTTTTCTTTCATCATCAATTCTGCCAGTAAACCTCTTCGCCTACTGTTGTTCTTCGGCTGCAAATGACGACGACAATAGGCTAGCTTAGTAGGTTTCCGATCCAACCCGATGGTGCATCAGGTGCAATGCTTATCAGTGAGGTTAGTGGGTATTGCCTCGAATTTTCCCAGTGAGGGCCAGTCGGCTCCCGTGTGTGAAGTGGGTATTGTCCCAGAATTTTCCCAGTGAGGGCCAGTCGGCTCCCGTGTGTGAAGTGGGTATTGCCTCGAATTTTCCCAGTGAGGGCCAGTCGGCTCCCGTGTGTGAAGTGGGTTTGTCCCAGAATTTTCCCAGTGAGGGCCAGTCGGCTCCCGTGTGTGAAGTGGGTATTGTCCCAGAATTTTCCCAGACTGGCCCTCACTGGAAAAATTCTGGGACAATACCCACTTCATACGCGGGAGCCGACTGACCCTCACTGGGAAAATTCTGGACAATAAACACTTCACACACGGACACGGGAGAGCGACTGGCCCTCACTGGGAAAATTCGAGGCAATACCCACTTCACACACGGGAGCCGACTGGCCCTCACTGGGAAAATTCGAGGCAATACCCACTTCACACACGGGAGCCGACTGGCCCTCACTGGGAAAATTCTGGGACAATACCCACTTCACACACGGGAGCCGACTGACCCTCACTGGGAAAATTCTGGACAATAAACACTTCACACACGGACACGGGAGCTGACTGGTCCTAATTGGGAAAACTCAGGGGCAATACCCACTTCACACACGGGGAGCCGACTGGCCCTCACTGGGAAAATTCGAGGCAATACCCACTTCACACGCGGGAGCCGACTGGCCCTCACTGGGAAAATTCTGGGACAATACCCACTTCACACACGGGAGCCGACTGGCCCTCACTGGGAAAATTCTGGGACAATACCCACTTCACACACGGGAGCCGACTGGCCCTCACTGGGAAAATTCTGGACAATAAACACTTCACACACGGACACGGGAGGCTTGACTGGCCCTCACTGGGAAAATTCGAGGCAATACCCACTTCACACACGGGAGCCGACTGGCCCTCACTGGGAAAATTCTGGGACAAT